ATTGAAGTACTCTTAGAATTAATTAATATAACTACTAATATAGATTTTGACTAATTAAATATCTTTATTATTACTTTATTAAAAGATGAATTTGAGATTAATACTAGTAAAGAAGATACTAAAAAAGAATCAGAATTTATAAGTTCTAATAATTTGATTATTTCTGAAGAAATATCTGAATTACTTATTTCTATAACTGAAAATATTAAATTTATCTATGAGAAAGACTAACTATCAAAATTTAAAGAAGCTATATTTTTATTTTATAATAATCTATTAAATAATAATAATTAAATGATGATTCAATATTATAGACTTGGACAAGTAATTTTGATTTAATCATATAAATATTCAAGAGATATATTAGAACTTAAGAAGAGTATTGAAGATTCTCTTGAAATATATATATATAATAAATTATATAATATTGCTTAGAAAGTTTTTTTTATTTATAAATCTGAAAAAAAGATATTTAATAATTAATTTGAGTTTATATCAATCAAGTTATATTACTTAAATAAGAAAAAAATATTAAAGATTATTAATTGATTTTTACAAGAGCAAAAATTTTCTGAAGAAGAATCATATATTATCATAATAATATAAAATTTTTTAATTTCATAATCTTTCTTTGATTATATAAAATTTTATATTTTATTCTATAATTACTCTTATTTTTCTATAATTATATATTTATTTATTTTATTATATTTACTCTTTATAATTATCTTTCTATTTTTAAATATTATATATTATCTTTTTTATTTAAAATCTATATTTTTAGTTTACCTGTTATATATAATTCATATATATATATAGTAGAATAGTATATTGAAAGATTATTTTTAATTTCTAGTAGAATAATTATATTTAGAGTCATAATTACAAATATCTTTTAATATTTTTCTATATTTTTCAATATTTTTCAATATTTATATATATCTTTTAATATCTTTCAATATCTATACATATTCTTGAATATCTTTTAATATCTTTTAATATCTTTTAATATCTATATTTTTAATATTAATATTTAGTTTATAATTCTTTATTATAATAATATATATATTTAGATAGTATTAATTAGTAATACTATATTAATTTATATATTTGAAAATATATAAAAAAATCTATTATTCCAGGTTGAAATAAATAGTTTTGGATTAAATTACTTGAAAAATATAATTAAAAAGCTTATTATCATAATAATAGTAATCTTTTTATAATTATACTAGTACTCTTTCTCTCACTTGATTTTATTTCTTTGATTATATAAAGTTAATTTTGATTTTTAAATTATAATGATATATTAATTTTTGATTTTTAATATTTATTTTAAGAATAAAAGATCTCTATTATAAATAAGTCATATTTTTTTATTTCTTTTATTATTTTGAGAGTAGAAGATCTCTATTATAAATAAGTCATATCTTTTTAGTTATTTAGTTTACTTACTTTAGTTTTTTTTTATTAGTTATAATCTTCTTTGATTAATAGTAGTTTTACTATTTAATCATCTTAAATCTTGAATTATATCAATTACTAGTAGTTTTACTAATTAATCTTTATAATTTCTCTGATTTATTTATTTTTTTATTTATTATTTTACTCTTTATTAAAATAATATTCATAAATATTAACACAGGCTTTAGAAATCTTTGTCATTATTAAAAATATAGTTTAATTCCTCTCTCTTTACCTTTAATTAATTCAGTTTCTCCCAATTCAATATTATTAAGATGAATCCAAGTAAAAATTCACTTATCAGATTTGCTATAACAATATGAATATAAAATAAATAAGTACAAAAGTTTTTCATTGATTAGTTATTAATAAATTAAATTTAACTATAATCTTGTAGTAAATTTATCCTAAATCAGAAGATAAAGATGTTGTATTGATTAATTTTTATATCATTATCTATTATTTTTATTCAAGTAATAAATTTAAATAATAAAATACTATTAGTTTCATATTAAAATATAATAAATTTTAATATTATATATCATCTTCATTAACTTATATTACTATAATTAATTTTTTTAATCATATCCAAAAAGATATTATATATTAGATCTATAAAGCTTGATAAGTTTATATATATATATAAAAGATTAAGAAGATAACTTCATCAAATATTATATTCTTTGAATAAGTATTTATATATAACATAATTTCTATTTTTATATTATATTATAATAGTACAATGATACTTATTCATCTATAAATTGTAATCTTGATTGAATTCTAAATAATTTAATCTTCTTATATATGAAAAGTATTCAAAAATTTGAGTATATTTATTATAAGCATGTTTTAAAAAATAGCTGACAAGTCCAATTAGCTTATTTAATTATAAAATATAATTAATATATTAATTATAATAAAAAATAATAAATAAACTTACTTTTCTTGCAGCTGGAATATCACAAATTATTGAAATTAATATATTTATCCTCCAGAATATTGATTTATTATAAATAGCTATCCAATCAAAGTTGAAGCAATTTATTTATCAAAAATTATATATAAAGTTATAATTACTTACTAGTTAGTTCTTTTAAATTCAGAATAACTCTAATCAAATTAAGATTTTTACATCATTAAATAATGATGTTTAACAATCTATATCATTAAACAATATACATTGATGACTCTGCTATATACTGTATTGATATCCATTTCAATATGCATTGATGATTTCAATATATATTGATATATAACTAACAACAAAAATTAATACAAATCACCTCAAAAAATTTCCTGATGCATCATTCATATTTTTCAATGCATTCCTGTTGGTTACTTCATAGATATCTGGGCGATTAATTGGTACATCATCCCTGGATGCTTGAAATAGTGATACATGCAGAATTCAATAATTGCGCTAAATGACATTGCTTTCAAGGAAAAAATCTGCGGAGCACCAGATAAAAAATCGTTCAGACAGCTAAAGCAAATGAAAGGTAGAATCTCTGCCACATTTTTATTGTTTTAAAGAAACATTCTCAGATTCCATGGCAAAAATTTTATTCAAATAAAAATCATGATTTTTGTTGTATGTTTACAAAATTCGCATAATTTAATTAGCGGTTTTTTTCAAAATCATGTATATGATACAATTCAAGCTCGATTTCAAAAATCCTATGATTTGATTTGACTTGCAAGTTTGAATTTTAAGCAATCTTACTACGATAAGTGTTCAATTTCTTTTTTAAATTCAAAAAAATACAGATTAATTCTAAATTATCATTGTATGTCTATAATAAGAAATTTTTCCAAAAAAAGGAACCTTATGAGTGGAATATGTACATGTAATCCGAATCTTTGAATCTATTTACGAATGCCTAATAAATTGATTGATCAAATTAAATACCAGTATTTATAAGTTTATATTTTTTACAGGAATATACAGATATATATGCTAACTAAAATATGAATTGATATCATTACGCAATACATCCAAACATTCTTCAGTTTGACAAAACCGTCTGGACCACATGACATGCTAGTAGATTTCGACACAGTTTTCAAGTTTAACTAATCATTGCACAATGAATCAAAAATACCCATCGAGATTTCGTAATTATTATGCAAAGTTATTTAGTCTTTATCGACTAACAATCACAGAATCTTCAGTAGCTCGTGTACAAATATCTGAGTTGTTTGATTGAAGATATTTAAAATCCATTTTCCCAAATAATTAAAAGATGAATCACGATATTTAGAAAAATAAATAAGTCATAACCATTACTTTGCAACTTGTGAAAACATCAATTTAGCAGTGCATTTAACATTATGATAAATCAATTGATTCTAGCTGAAAAAGAACAATTACCGTATATGACTGAAAATAGGCAACCCCGAAAATAAGAAACTTTTGGTTTTTGAAGGAATAACGATAAAATGATTAAGTCATGTAATTAAGAAACTTTTGACTTTTTGCATCATGCATTTATTACATTCTATAATTACATATCTCGGAAGTTATATTTTCACATCAAAAATAAAAATAAAAACTTCATATCACCAGTAGGTATTTTATATTTCTGTGGGTAGAAACGGATATTTTATGGATTTTATCGATCACTATGCTAGAGTGCGTCATCGCATAATAAACGGGACATCAAATCAAAAATAAGAAACTTCCTTATTTTCGAAATGCCGATTTTCGGGGTTCTTATTTTCAGTCATATACGGTAAAAATAATCGATCTCAATCTATTGAAGAAAAGACATTGTATGATTACTAAAGTCAATGTTAATACTCCAACCCTACCATATCTCTGGATTACATATTATTTTGATGTTATATTTACATGAGAAGCCCAAAGTCAAGCAAATTATTTCAACACCATATAGTCTAAAAAACACGCTCATTACAGCTGCAAAAATACTATTGTCTAGACGAATTACTTTATAATGTACCACGACAATAAAATTATAGTCACGGTTGCTAAAGAATGAAATCAAATAATAAAACAATATAGTAGCAAAAAATTACCAACAGATCAGAAAGCATACTTTCCAATTATGGACCAGATGGGATCAATGAACAGTTATTCTTAATATCCGACAATAACGATAATGTTTCAGCTCGGATCTAGTTAAATAAATGAAATCATTTGAGATCAATCCTTTTAGAAAAATCGGATGTTATCGTTATCATTAACTTGTTAATTTCTCTAATTCACGAAATTATGACAGGATGTCGATTTATATTTTTCAGCACAATAGATAATCGTAAATTAACGGAAAAGTATTGAATCAAGATGAAAAGATGATTTTATCATATTTTCATTCTCATGCAAGTTATAATTTTTGTTATCGTTAAAACATTTTATTTTAGAAATGTTACGTCACGAATATAACTATGCTAAATAAATAGCGTCTTGTATATGTATAAACAATTCAACCATGAGAGATTTATATAATCTAACCAAACCATTAGCATAAAATCTAAATTTGCAATAATGTATCTTATAATCTGAATCTTAATTACTATTTGTTAACATCAAAAACGAATTGCCTAACAGCTCCATTGAATTTTTTTGTTTCCTCCCAGAAAGGAATATGCCCGGAATTTTCAAATACAATTACGGTGCCGTTTTTCGCTTTTGCCAATGCATTGTTAGCCGCCTTTGGATCCGTAGCTACGTCCTTTGCACCACTTATTATGAGAATTGGAATAGTCAAGTTTGTGTAGGTCAGAACTATACAATTATTAAAAATCTCGAATATTATAACCCAAGTACTATTTGATTCAAATAAATTTATCATATAGCTGATAATACATACCTGTATTGAAATCATAGCTGAATGATCCGCTAATGTATGCGGAAGGCGTAAAAACGCTTCCACCGAGAAAAACTAAACGAGTAGTTTCCTCAAGTGGCGGTAAACCTTCTCCGGTAAAATTTTTTATAAGATTATCTCGTACGTCAATTTGATCTTCATACGTTAAATTTACAGAACCTAATATATCCCCGATAATAGTGGCCGAGAAATAATTCGTTTCAAGAGCATAGCAGACTGAAATAAAACCGTTTAATTTGCTCTGCCCATATTTTCGCACATATAATAACATGATCTCAGCTCCATACGACCATCCAACAATTGTAACTTTTTTATTGGGATATTGATTTGTGGCAGCCATAATCACTGCATTCAAATCATCCGCCACAAATGATGCATTATTGTAGAAATTTACATCTCGCGGTTTATCACTATCCAAAATACCACGCGCGTCGTAAAATACGAGATGAAGA